CCCACGAAAGCACACTTGCTGCTTCCTCCCCCCCCCCCTCTGTTGCTGCTGCTGCTGCTGCTGCTGCTGCTGATGGGCTGCGGCCCGCAGCTAGCCGCGCCTTCTTGGGCCGCGCGCTCTCCTCAGCTGTGCAGCCACCCGAGCTGCAGTCGCCACCCTCCGCGCTGCTGCTGCTGCTGCTGCCGTTGCTGCTGCTGCTGCTGCTGCTGTTTGCTGCTGCTGGCTCGCAGAGGGCCACGGAGAAGTCCCCGCCGGCTAGGATGCAGGTGGGCCTGAAGACGCTGTAGTTTGCTGCTGCTCTTACGAACTTGCTGCTGCTGCTGCTGCTGCTGTCCCCCAACTGTCCCTTTTCATTAGATCCCAAAGAATAAATAAAATGATCTTCACTCAGCAGCAAGATGTGGTTCCAGCCGCAGGCCACCGAGTGTACAGACACCTCAGTCGGCACGCAGTAACACACCCGCGCAGGCAGCGCGCAGCTGCAGAGCGCACGCTGCTGCTGCTGCTGCTGCTGCTGCTGCTTTGTGTTTGCTGCTGCCTCTCTTTGTGCTGCCTCTAGCTCCCTCAAATACACAAAGACAGAATGCCGAGTGCTCAGAACTACAGTGTCCTCAAACGCGCTCACGGAGACCACAGGGTCACAGCTGCTGCTGCTGCTGCTGTTGCTGCTGCTGCTGCTGCAGTTTGTGGCTGGGCTGCTGCTGCAGCAGGTGGCTCCGTGCTGCTCTTCTACTCGGAAATCCGAATGCAGCCACAAAGGCTTACAAAGGAGTTCATTTGAACCTGGGGAGGGCAGCGCAGCCTCAGCAACAAATATTATGCGGTGGTTTGCTGCTGCTGCTGCTGCTGCTGTTGCTGCGGGTGCTGTTGCTGCTGCTGCAGGCGCTGCTGCTGCTGTTGCTGCTGGCGCTGTTGCTGCTGCTGCTCCTGGTGTTGCTGCTGCTGGTGACGTTGTTGCTGCTGCTGGTGATGTTGTTGCTGCTGTTGCTTCTGATTCAGCTGGTATAGGCATCGCTGCAGTTCTGCGTGTCCTTGATGCTGAAGATCTGGTTTCTTCTGCTGCAGTTGCTGCAGTTGCTGCTGTTGCTGCCGCCGCTGCTGCTGTAGTTTCTGCTGCTCCCGCTACAGCTGCTGCAGATGCTGCTGCTGCTGCTGTCTTCAAGTGAGATCCTGCAGCATCTGGGCAGCTGCAGCAGAAACGAAGCGGCGCTGTCCACGGCTGGAAATGGATTTGAGCCTTTCTTGCCAGCAGACATCGAAGATGAAATTGTTTTAAAAGGAAAAATAATATAAACAAAATAAAAAGAGAAAATCTAATCCATTTGCAGCAGATTTACTGAAGGGAAATGCGAGAACCGTTCAAAACTGAGAAGTTTAAACTTGCCGCCGCGCGCGGAACGTGAATCGCGGTGTACGTACACCCGAGCGGAAGATTCTGCATGAAATTGATAAAAAAGAATAAAAAAAGAAATTAAATAGCTTGTTTGAAGTACTTTTATAAATCTGAACGCCGACAGAAGCTGCAGCCCCGAAACACATCGAGCCGCATACTCTAGGTGTCTGTACACCTCAGAGCGGCGCAATGAAACAAAAACTCATTTGAACTTCGAAATGTCATCTTATTTAAATTCAAAAAGTTAAATAAATTTAATCATTTTATTTAAATTCAAAAAATTAAACAAATTCAAAATACGAAATTGTTGCCTGTAGGCTCTTCTCTGACTGCAAACACAAACTCGACTTGAGGCAATGCCGTAAACCGTAGCCCTACACCCTAAACCCTAAACCCTAAACCCTAGACGCTGGATGCTAGATTTCCCATTGGAAGCCTAAACTCGGATCCATAAACCCTAAACCCTCAAACGCTCTCGGTTTCACCAACAGTAGTGGATGTTAATGCAGATGCAGTAAACCCTAAACCCTAGACACAAACAAAGACCAAAAAACATAAATTAAAAGATACAGATATGTTGTGCACAGAGCTGCAAGTGACCCGCCTCGCTTCCCCCCGAAACCCTAAACCCTAACACTCCTAAACACTAGCAACTGACGAAACCCTAAACCCTCGCAACTGAAGAAACCCTAAACGCTAGCAAGTTTGAACGGCGATACTACTGATGCGGGCCTGCTGCGCAATTCTAGGGTTTAGGGTTTAGGGTTTGGGTTCAGGGCCTAGGTTCTGGCGCCTAGGGTTTAGGGTTTAGGATTATGAAGAGTAGAGCTTGCTGCGCATTCTAGGGTTTAGGGTCTAGGGTTTCGGCCAAGGGTTTTGTGTTCAGGATTTAGGGTTTAGAGTTTAGCAGATGAGAACCCTCTTTGGGGGTTTGCAGTAAATTTTACCTAGATGAACAAAAACAGCAAAACACGTTGCAGCAGCAGCAGCACAACACGTTACAGCAGCAGCAGCAAAGCACCTTACAGCAGCAGCAGCAAAACACCCCACAGCAGCAACAGCAAAACACCCCACAGCGGCAGCAGAAAAAGGGACTTTGTGGCTTCCCACTGACTAGCGGTAGCTCCTAGGGCCCCCGGAGCCCCAGGCGTGAGGACCCCTCTTGGGTGTGTTGTCTGTGTTGCTGCTGCTGCTGCTGCTGCTGCTGCTGAGGGCTCCCCGTGCTGCAGATACCTGTGACAAGGAGGGTTGGAATTTGGGCAAAGGCCTCTTTTGCTGCAGGAGAGGGCCTAAAGAGCAAGGCCTTCTGCAGCAGCAGCAGCAGCAGCAGCAGCAGGTCTCAAGAGCAGCGATTGAGGCCCAGGAGTTAGACTTGGCTTTGCTGCAGGGGTTTCTTTGCTGCTTTCGAGGTTCCGAGAAACCCGCGAACTCCCCCAGTGCCCCCAAGTAAACCCTAGACCCTAAACCCTAAACCCTAAACCCTCCTAGACTGTTGGGAACCCTTGCACAGTTCACTGTATAGAAACAGTTCTGGGGGCTGCGGGCTGCCCGGGGCTGCGGCCGGGGCCCCGCAGCAGGAGGTGCACGTACACACACCTCAACTCGGGCGGTCGACGCGGTGTACAGACACCTCGAGGTGTACGTACACCCCACAGCTAGCTGCTGGGGTGTACGTACACTTCAGGCTGCTCAGACACCTCAACGGGACGGAGAAAGGGGTGTACAGACACCCCAGTGCAGACACCCGAGGTGTCTGTACACCCCAGCAGCTGCTGGGGCGTGCAGACACCTCCAGGTGTACGTACACCCCAGCGGCTGCTGGGGTGTACGTACACCTCAAGGGCGCTCAGCCACCTCAGTGGCGCGGAGATTACGGTGTACGTACACCCCAGC